GAACTCCATATCCTTCAACTTTACTAGTTATTGATGTGGTAATTTTGGTTATAGTTAGTTATTTAATTATTAATCAGAGTTCCAAATTTGACGTCAGTAATTTCATGAGACTTATTCAATAAATTGGCTATCTTTTCCCTTCCTTTGAAGGGTGGTGCCCCGATTTATCTTTTATTAGTTTAATTATTAATATTTAATATTTCACTGATAGCCACATTTATTAAATGCCCAAAAGCACACCATTTAATGGTGCCCCGCGTGAAGGAAAGTACATAATTGTACCCTGCGCGAGGGAAAGTACATAATAACAACATTAATACCAACATTTTTGGTGCTCCGTGTGAGGCAAAGTCAGTAATAATAACATTATTTTGACGCCACGTGGAGCAGTGCACAACATATAGTTAACAAGTCACCTGTAGCCGGTGCAGTACCACCGAAGGTAGCTTCAGCTAGCCGTCCCCCGGCAACCGCCGAGCAGCCGGGAGGCTGGGTGACTGTTCGAAAGAGGCATAGCCCCAAACTGAAGCCCACGGTACACCACCAACCACGTTTCTAACAGATTTTCCCCGCTCAGTGACACACCCGCTGAGAGGCCAACTCTGGTTATAGGCAGCTCCATTTTATGAAATGTGAAGTTAGCGACACCGGGGGCCATAGTTAAATGCATTCCGGGGGCCAGAGCGGGCGACATCGAGTCTAATTTGAAACTGCTGGCTAAAGATAAACGTAGATATAGTAAGATTGTTATTCACATCGGCGGTAATGACACCCGGTTACGCCAGTCGGAGGTCACTAAAATTAATGTTTCATCGGTGTGTGCATATGCAAAAACGATGTCGGACTCCGTAGTTTTCTCTGGACCCCTGCCCAATGTGACCACTGATGACATATATAGCCGCATGTCGTCATTTCACCGCTGGCTGTCGAGGTGGTGTCCAGCAAACAACGTGGGCTTTATAGATAACTGGACACCTTTCTGGGGAAAATCTGGTCTGATTAGGAGAGACGGCATCCATCCCACTTTGGATGGAGCAGCTCTCATATCTAGAAATATGGCCAAGTTTATTAGTCGACCAAAACCGTGACAACCCAGAGTTGAGACCAGGAAGCAGAGCTGCAGTCTTACACGCTCCTCTGCGACTCCATTAGAGCAGCTGCCCACCCAATCCTTTAGTATAGAGACGGTGTCTGTTCCCCGTCCACCTACATTATTTAAAGATAAAATAAACAGAAGAGGAGTTCATCATAGCTTCATAAAAATTAAATCAACATCTCCAGCAGTCCAAAATAAGATAATTAAATGTGGACTCTTGAATATCAGATCCTTGTCCTCCAAAGCTGTTTTAGTCAATGAATAAATATCTGATTATGATATTGATTTATTTTGTTTAATGAAACCTGGCTGCAGGAGGATGACTACAGTATGTTAGCTTAAATGAATCCACTCCTCCCAGTCACTGTAATACTCATATTCCTCGAAGCACTGGTCGAGGTGGTGGAGTTGGAGCCATATTTGACTCAAGTCTATTAATAAATCCTAAGCCTAAACTAAATTATAATTCATTTGAAAGTCTTGTTCTTAGCCTTACTCATCCAACCTGGAAAACATTACAGCCAATTCTATTTGTCACAGTATATCGAGCTCCCAGTCCTTA